CAATAAAAATCACAACATCATGAATACAGCAACCACTGATTTCTCCCTAAACCACTGTTGTCCTTCCTAAATGCCTTTCCTGAGCCCTTAGAAGTAAAGAGCCAGCTGCCGAGTCTCTTCACCTTCTCCAGCTCGGCCTCGGTGGCCGAGTATGTAGCGACGGGCGAAAGGCACAAAGAGGCCACGGAGACGGACAAGCAGGCGGCTGACAGGAGGACACCCTCGTAAGACTTCCGTAGCGGGTTCGCACACGGAGAATAAACCGGCGGACTTCAGGTCCGGTGGCAGCTGCAGGCGTCCAGATGGGTGTAAGCCACATCGGGCACAGAACACCGCTCCGAGACAGGTGGCACACAAATATGTTGCGTGTTTCCAAAAGCCACACATGCCTTATTCATGAGTGCCGCCAAAACAGCCACGAGCGACGGCAAGATTCGCAGAGAATGCCTCTCACTCTCCCTGTGCAGAGAGGTCCGGAACGATTAGCTCACACGGCATTAACCTCGGCGGAGGCTTTGCGCCGGCTCGAGGTTGAGGGGGCAATAATCTGGGCCTGGCTGAATTAGTCAGCGACCGACCTTCCGTGCGCCGCCTGACAGAGTCGAGGCATAATGTGAGGATATGTATTCGTCCGTGTGTGGCTCTTCAGACGCTCACTGGCATAGACCAGCGTCTATCCAAAGTCTCACAGTGCGGAATAAGAAAAGTCACAATACTAAGTTCTGATACGAGCCAGTAAACTACAATAACTGCGCTGTTAAAAACACAGGAACAAAAGCCTTATTCACTCCTTTTCTAGTGGAAATAACCGAGCGCGTCCTTAACACTGAACCCGGCCACATTGATCTTCACTAAGGTCAGAGATAATAAAGCTCGACCTCGAACCCGGGATGAATATTACTCAACATTAGTGTTTTGAGGTTATTAAAACATCGGTAAAAAAACAACACATCCTTTAGAATTCTATATTCGTGTACAATGAATGAACGATGCAAACATTTGAAGAACAAATAAAGTGTGAGTTTCGAAAAAATGTGAGCCCAGATGCTAACTGGCTTCTATGTGCACATGGAATCATCTCCAATACATGTGTAATTTAGAAAACCTTAGCCACTGATGAGATTGAACTGTGAAATGGCATTCCATATTAAAAACATCTGGGGGGGGGGGGGGTTGGAGAAGATTGAGGGTTCGTTATTAAATCCTGGATGAAGTATGCAGAGGGTGAGAGTCGTGGGTGCTTTTATGGTTTCAAATCCAGCCACTGCCGATAATAATGCCTCGTGGCGCAGCCAAACGAAATCAGCATGTCGCTACTTGTATCGCTCGAGCGTAAGAGACTGGAGGAGTTGACATGTTGATGCATCTCAGTACTAAAGAAAACCGCTGCGAATCGATGTTGCATTCTCAGAAATGTGTTCACAATTGTTTTTCTTCTGACAATCTAGCTTTGTTGTTTTTGATTGAAAAGAACACATTTATGGAATCATGAGAAATAAATTAAGGTACTTGATTAAGAGTAATACGGTGTCGTTAGGCCTGGAATGGTGTACATGGAGACAATGAGACAGCATCAACGGGCCCGTTTTCCTTATTGGAACGATCTTTTCCATTTTAATTCCTAGGGTCTGCTCTGTACTGTAAAACCTTTACGTTGACATAAAGATGTCACTGCAATCAATAACCTCTTAAAATATATACACACAGCTGATGCCATCTAATAAAGAAACACGGAGGAGGGCACTCTTCAGATGGAAGCAGCGCCATTTGCATCCCATTTACATGCGAGTCTCTACAGTCCATGTAATGCAAAAGGCAGCAATTTCTTCTTTTTCCCCCCTTCGGTCCTTTGGATGAATGAACCGCATATAAGAAACTGTAGGGTTCTGTGTGACCTCAGTCAGCGTGAGCATTTAAATCTCTGCCACAGCTTTCCAGTGTTGCACTTCTTTGGCCGGGGAGACGGGATGTTTGACCCATTCAGCAGACGAAGACGTTTCATCATTACGGATGTGACTCAGAGGACATTTTGCGGCCAACTCTGACTAACTCACTTGAAAATGTAAAAAAAAAAAAAAAAAAAAAAAAAAAAAAAAAAAAAAAAAAAAAAAGCAGTCATACGAATACAGTCAGCCAATCAGAACGTCTCTTCACATCCTACACACCAACACATTAACGCCCTTACATTTGGATCACTGATGTTGATTAAAGTCAAATACATTTTTCATCTCTCTCAGGTAGTTGATTTCACTTTTGGGATTTGCCAAACAGCACTTCTGCAGAAGTCAATACTTCTGACATATGAAACACATTTGCAGCAAATAGCTCTGCTTGTAACCGCGGATGTCAGACACACTTAATGATTTTCTATTCACAGCAAAGATGTTTCATACTGTTCCAAGTGCAAATAGTGATTCCTGAGATGTTTTCCCGTTAACCGTTCTTCTACCGTCTTACTGACGAGGGTGAACGTGCCCCCCCCTCCCCTCCCTCCCTCCCCCTACAGCAGCTCTGCTGAGTGAGACGGTCCATTTACGATTTTACAGCGCACACCCGGCTTTAGCAGCGTATTAAGATTAGGAGAGGAAGGAAAAATAATCAAGAAGGAAATCCTACCTACAGTGCTGCTTAAGGAAAATGAAGAGCGCTGGTGCGTGAACAGTAGTGTTAAACTGGGTGCATAGTCTTGTGCAGATATGGGCAAATGTTGGGGAAACAAATGTGGGCTTATTGGGCGATTGTATTTGGCTTAACTTAAAGGTGCATTCTGCTTGGATTGCACAACTACTGGAATATTAATGCGACGACGGTAGAGTGACATGTGCATGTCGGCCCTGTGACACAGACTGCAAACTTCAAACACGGCTGTACTACAAACCATTCATTGACATCTCCGAGGCCAGGAGAACGTCTGCAATTACCAGAATGCAGACATCATTTGCGAGGGGAGAAAAAAAAGAAAAAACAGCTCTGGGTGTGCGCCAAGCTGTTAGTTCAAACTCACCTGGTGAAGTCTGTCATCTCCATCATGATCATGCACATCTGCTTGGCCAACACGATGATGTCGTTGCCGCTGTCGTCCCACTTGGATACCTCGGCATCCAGCTTGCTCTTCTCTTCCTGGAAGCTCGCCACCTGTTCGGCAATAATCGCCCTCTGTTCCTGGGGCAACTGGGCCATGATAGCCTGAAGGAGGAATTATGGGAGCGCGTAGAGGGTTTAGCACACAAGACCTCGGCTTACTGTTCCCGAAAGCCATTTCTGTCTCCAGGGCATTTCGTTTGACAGCATCTCCTACAGCTTCTATGGACGCACCTCTCTTGTGTTTTCTCGTCATTTTATATTTTCTCCGGTACAGCTCGGCCACAAATTTGTCCTGAACAAAGCTTATAATGTTGACTTTTTTTTTTTTTTTTTTTTTTTTTTTAAACCTTTCATTTATGAGGACACTCACTTGGTTATTTCACTCTTAGTGCTGAATTTTAGGACCGATTTATTTTTGTTGGTTTCAACCACAAAAGCTGGGTTCAAAGCAGGGTTCACAGCCGCCAAGTAATAGCACGCGACATCTTCTGGAAAATATATATACATTTATTGAACTCTACGCCTCAGGTCACTGGAGACGATCAATAACAGGGCATTTATCTTGCACTACTTAATATCCAGCGCAAATGTGTTTAGCACCATTTCTATCCATCCTCTTGGGCTTGAGGGTTAAAAGGGCAGCTTCCAAACAGGCAATCAGACATTCGATGAATGAGCCTGTGAGGCAGAAGTGGGCCGACACTTAAGAGCGGGAAATCGAATATCATCGCGAGAGCGTTGATTCCATTACTGGTAAAAGGGACTCGCTCTCCAGAGTCACCTAAGCTTTAATAAAGCAGTTCGGTGCAAAGATGAAAAGCCTCCGCCTAACAAAGCCGCCGGATGATCTTTGGTCAACACAACAAACGGCACGGCGGCTTACTGTCGGATCACACGGCCAACAGGGTTTTAATTTTAGATTAAATTATTACTTTGTGTTTTTCTAAACACTGAATTTCATTTCTTATGAAGCAAACAGTAGAGAGTCTTTTCAGGTCTAACCGGAACATTCAACATATCAAATTCACTGGTTCAGACGTGGACATGATATTTGAGAAATAAAAACGTCCTCAAAAGGCCTGGAGGATGTAAGACACAAATAGCCACTCAGAGAGCTGCTATGACGGTCTGTTATCGGACTAGAGGCTAAGGTTTAATAAAGCCTTCTGAAGTCTTGAACTCTTTGAACTGTACCCTACCTGAACCACTCTTTTAACACCATACACGAGACCCGGCTGGACACCAGAGTTGTATGAGGAAACACTTGGTGTCACACTAGTTATGTTGGCGCCAAGCCAACTGTGCGTGAGCCATTAACAATAAGGATGGGGAGTGTTTGAAAGAACATTGGCTCTGACAACATTAACATGAGCGCACACTGACAAAAGAATGTGTACTGTTACTTTCTACCACCATAACCTTGTGAATGAGACATCAAATTGCTCTTTTGATGATGGAGCGTTCTGAACTACATTTTATCGTACCAGCCAAGTGATTTCTCCTCTAATTGATTGCCAAACTACTACAGGAGGATGTTGGACATCTTACCCGTGCACTCTGGCCGGCGAAATGCTGGTCGTCGTCCGTCTGCGTGCTGGTCCTGCTGCGGACGTCAAAGTCTTCAGTCTCAAAGTCAGAGTCGTCCAACTCCTCTGGAGTCTGTAACGGATCCACAGAGAGGGGCAAAGGAGGAGAGAAGAAACAAGGGACAGGGGTCAGAGAAAAAGCTGTTAGTCGTATGTGGAGAACGTTAAATAACATTGGCACGCTACAGCTTTTTAAGCACTATCAAAAAACCAACCTGCTTACTATCTGAGAAATGCCTCGACGCTGCCAGCCAGGGCAGCCTCAGATAAATTGTCTTTCGCTCGGGCGGCTTGGTACAAGAAACCGTAAACTCAAAATTAATTTGTAAATCAAGTGTAATGTGCTGCCTGTGCATTTTGAGAGGGGGAAAAAAGAAGGTGCAAGCTGGCATGAAACATATTGGGACTCTGAAGCTGTTTTTGCTCCCATCTGTTGCTGCTATCTGTGGAGAGGCGGGTGAGGCGCGAGTTGTGTTCTTCGAGAGCGTCGCCGCTTCACCTCGTCCCTAACTTTGAATCCAAAACGAGCCATGAGCAAAAAAGCATTTTCCCATGACTACTAATGTTCAAAAGTCTCCCCCTCCCTCCCTCCCCCTCCCCCTCTCTCTCTCTCTCTCTCTCCCTCTCCCTCCCCCTCTCTCTCCCCCTCTCTCTCCCTCTCTCTCTCTAAAGTCAAAACACAAGACTGATTGACGGGGAAATGGATTTGGTGGCGACGCGGGTGCGGGGGAGGTGATGATGTGGACAGATAAGGTTGCATTATCACGCCTGTGCCGCTCCTTGTGCTTATCCAGCTGTCTCAATACCTCCCTTCTGTAATGGATTTGGAGCCCTCGCGTCTAAAAATAGCTAAAGGTCTCTGAACAACCTTACACTGCTTTATGAAATGTAGAGATGCTCTTGTTCTCGAGGGAATAGGGGGGGGGGGGGGTAGTTTTCAGATACAAAGATGTCTGTGTGTGACTCACAGGCGTCTCTTTCAAGCCAGACAATGCTGCTCAGCGGGGCAGAGATATCACCTGCTGTGGCCCGTGCAACAGATAACCTGCGAATGTGGGAGGCTCAGAAATGAAAGCTCGTCGTGGGAGCGACGGGACACCGTACTGTAGATATGCGACAACAATAGCCTGCAGTTTAATTAAGGGGTTTTGTCAAGGTAGTGCCGCTGGCACAGTAAGTGAAATTTGAATGCCGTCTTTCATGCTGTGGCAAAATACGCTGGTCAAAATTGACATTTTTCGTAATGTCCAGACCCTCCACTGTCTGAAATATTCAGTTCCAGCTGCATCAGCCTCTGTGACCAGCCCACGATATCGTGACAGGGTTCAGAGCTTCAATTACAATATTGTGACAGTCTAGTATTTCTGTCTGCTGACATAGATGTGGATGCAGCGGTCCAAATGTAAAATGGCATTTTTACTTTGGTGACATTCTTCTCATCGCCTCTGTAAGTAAAGCAGTTTTTTTTTTTTTTTTTTTTTGAAGGGCAGAAACGGCACAATCACCTTGGGCCGTGACGCACCGCACAAATCAAAAGGTAACGACAGCTGCCCGCTGTATCTCTCCGTCAGCAGCTCCCTGACTTTGAGACAGTTTGATGTCTGGGAGGCATTATTCTGTGATGTCGCTGGAGGTGGGGAGAGGGCTCTGCTGCCTGTCAACTATCCGAGGGACACCCGACAGAGGCTGCCCGGGCACCACTTACAGAGGTTAAAGACTTGTCTATCTTGAGTAGCCCCAACCACACACTTGTCTGTTCTGATTTAAAGAGCTGTGTGCCTCGCACCCATGCATGCAAGGTTTCATAGAAGAGAGGTGTGTGTGCGTGTGTGTGAACATGCCCTCTGGAGAAGTTGTCTCTCGGTGTTCAACTCTGCTGATTTGCAACATTCCATATTTCTTTGGACTCGGAGCAGAGCACGGTCAGCTTCACATGTACACGGTGCCACTGAAGGGCAGCTCAGCCAAGCAAACGGTTCTTCCAAATGGAAATGAACGTTTTTGATACACTCGTCTAATCTCATTACAAACAACAGCACTTAAGAGTGAGCTTAGATCGCTGCGCAGATGCTGCTGGAAACTACCCGGCTGAGCCAACCGAGAAACTTCCCGCTGAATTAACACCACGAAACCTGTGAGGATTATCTCACACACACCTGATCACGAAATCCTGGCAAATCCATGAGGAACAGCAGCTTTTTTTTTTTTTTTTAAATAATGGAAAACGTTTAAGTTGAATCTCATCACTATCTCCGGCTCATAGTTAAGAATGGCAGAATTAATTATAAGAAAGCAAGTTTTTTTTTTTGATAAATCCTCTGTTATTTTCAACTCGCCCACACACACACACACACACACACACACACACACACACACACACACAC